ATAAACACATCACAAAAATATTATTATATTATATTCTGATAACTGTTGCAGAATTTCATTAACGAAACGCCGGAATATATACACACATAGAGAGATATATTATACAAAATTGATATAAAAGTGTATTTAGAAATAATAATATGTTATTGCAGTGGATATTAGTTTTGGAGTTCATTATAGTGTTTGTAATACAAATAGTATAGCAATCAATCGATGCGTTATGTTATACGCGAATACCCGCCAACTCTAATCAAATTTAACTTTTAATGACATTTTTCTCCTTTCTATTGGACTTATTTTTAACACAAATTATTATTATTAATATTTTTGAATAATTATAAGATTGTAAACTACCAGATTTTAATGTCTTGTAATATGTATTTTAATTTAGATCATGTTTAATTTTTGTTAGTTATTGAAAATCATGAATTAATTGTTAGTTATTGAAAATCATGAATTAATATTAGTAATGAAAGTGTAGGCAAAACTTATTATGTTATATATAAATAGCAAAACTAATATATGATTAGTGTCTACTATATAGAGATTGTATGGTTGGGTGCGATGGCAGGGCCGGTATCGTACGGTTACAGCACTTTAATAAGAATTACATTAATGTTCACCACTATTATTATCGATATCAGTGTTGAGCTATAGTTTTAGTTATGAATTCACTCTCTTTTGCTATCATATCTGCCTTTTGATGTCAACTCTATTATAATTTATATGAAAAGCCATCAGTTATTAGGAATTGTCTTAGTTTTGGTAGTTTTCGTGTATCGGATATCCATCTATGTATTAGTGATGTTATCGGTTTTGTAAACTCCAGTATTCATTGCTATCTCTATCGTCACCAGAAGCCCATCGATGCATAAGAGATGTATATTATTATTAGTTCAGTATTTGTACCAAAAAAGCGGAAACCCTTTTAGCATCGCATAGACTAATGACAGACTAAACATAAGACAAGTGACAACACTATTGAACAATAAACCAATGAATGCTAACACAAAGACTGTGTGACAAAAATCACCAGAAAAGAGGCAAACAGACGGAGAATACGCTAAATACTAACCCTATTATATAAGGCTTAAAACGCTTCAAATGCAAACCATATCTTTCTCGCACTCATTATTGTTAACTCTATATACAGTACTATTGTATACATAAACCCATTGTGTGATCCATCCATACATGCGTTTCGTAATGCGATCTCTAATAACTAGTATTGTCTTTAAGTTTTTGTAATTATTATTATTTGCAAACCAAAGGCACGAAATGACTGACTGATGGCCTAAGCCTACTGTCTATGCTTTCAATAAGTATTGTGCGACCAAAAAGTGTAGTCAACACTTAATAATAGTATCCAAGACTTTACACACTCGTTGTGGTCTATAATTTGCATTACTATTTCGTATATTTATATTTTGCATAACCTTTTCTTATACATCACTCGCTCTCAAAGTGCTTATGTTTTGCATCAAAATTTTGAGAGAAAAATTTCTTTAATAATTCTCATTCTCTGTTGTAAACCATATTTAATATATAGCTTTTTCCTTTCATTTACCCCTTCCTTGCATTCTCTCTCTCTCTCTCTCTCTCTCTCTCCCCAATTGACGCGAAACACAGTATTCATATACATATCTAGATTTTGTGTTAAAACCTTTTTTATGATATTTATTTCAATGATAATTCTTGTGTGTCTCGGATTTCTAGCGAAAACACCACCAGTTTTATGATTGTATTTGATTTAATAATATTTTAATTCCCTTTTATTATAAGACATAAGCCTATGAGAGTTGGTGTACGAGAGTGCATAAAACACCTTTACTTCTCTCTCTCTCTCTCTCTCTCTCTCTCTCTCTCGTGATTATCAGTATTTATTTTGACAAAACAATCCGAGAATGAGTGGAAAAATCAAGAATATATTATGAAATATCTATGAATTTTCACATTTTTCGCACACTTTGTGATGATATCAAACACTATTAATAAGTTTTGCAAAAAACATTTTCGTCACATCTATTGACTGACAGAAATCACAGACGGATTCCCAAAGTTCTTGCAAACGATAACCACTTTAAATGTTATAAACATTTCTTATTTGTTAAATATTTTCTTCATTTTACTGTTATATTCACACAAAAAATTGATTTTTAGAGAGAGAGAGAGAGAGAGAGAGAGAGAGAGACGACTGACTGACTGGCTGTTAACGTCGAGGCAAAAAGTCACTGCAAAAATACAATATTTAGCGTCAGTTCTTCAGGCATGAGCTCCTGATTCGTACAACCAATGGATACCACGTGTCCTTCGACTACAGAGAGAGAGAGAGAGAGAGAGAGAGAGAGAGAGAGAATAGGGAGAGAGTATATGTGAATATATCTAAAAGTTCTGACGGGACAGTCCTCTCCGGTATGAGGCTCTGTATGTATGGTATGGCGTGTGTATATATGAGGTGTATAAACGAGTACCTTTCCATAGAGGCATCAGTGCTATTTAGGCAGCTATAGTGAGCACCGCAAACCAACCTTCATACTAAATCCTATGTATATTCCTATGTGTTTTATACCCAACCATACATACAGTGTGTGTGTTATTCTCGAACCACTGAATTCATGTTATATTTACTGTAATATACAGTGAGAAGTGAGAGTATGTGTTGAGTGGAGAGTAAAAAAGTTTTATGAAATTTAATAAAAAAGTTTTTTTTCGCACATTTGTGTTTGATTTTCCGCATATTTTTGCTGAAAAAAACAGATAATGTGTTAGTTATGTGTGTTTATTGCATGTGCGTTAACACTACATGCTTATAATTAATAATTATTATTAATCAATCAATGTGTATTTTGAATATTTAGTTATAAAACAGGCCGAGCGCGCAAATTTACGTTGATGAAATTATACGCCAGGCTTATTTATTCTCAATTCTGTGCCAAACAATCATCATTGTCATTTACGATATTAATGATCAAGTTTGATAATATTGGTTACGAATATACATAATATTAATTAAAACATATACATAATTAATAAACAATTGTTGCATTTATTTTCATTAATCTCCGGACTATTATGTGGTTTATATGAGAGTGAGAAAAAAGTGTCTAATTTTTGTGCTAATTGTTTGCCAAATATCTGCCGTCTTATCGCTGAAACTCCAGCGCCATATGTTTGAGAGCGACGAACAATCACTGGTGCCGAGAGTGGCCGACACTCGGCCGGAGGGGCGACCGGTGGCGGCCACAGGAGGGGACAGCGACCACGAGTCCGCCGCCCATTACTTACCCAAACACTTATTACGACATTCATCACAGCAATCATTATCATCACCGTCAATAACATCTAGCCATAGACAGCCCCATCATCGTCACCGACATCACCACCATCTACACCATAATCAGCGACATATTCACCAAAACTCTAGTGCATCGGTGGCGGCGACGGCGCCGGCAGCCAATCCCCGGCAACACAAACTGTCCGCACATATCGCACATCAAAATATTAATAGTTATGTAAATAATAATAACAATAATAATAATAATAGAAATGACAATAACTTTAATAGCATAGTATTCAATGGGAGCGCAAATGTACGGCAGATTAAGACACGGGCGTCGCCAACAGTCTCAGTGGCCAACCCTGTGATCGACCTGAGGGTGTTGTCCACCAAGCAATTGATGCTCTATAGCCGATGCAGTCAACAGTATATCTATTTTCTGAACACAATAATCAATACGACCCGAGAAAAGGACAATAGTTTGGGTGAGTTTTTTGTTTTATTGTACTGTACTTTGTGTTTATGTCCGTAAATAATATTTTGGTGACATTTACATTTTTATAAAATTAACCGCGATTAATATTCTATGGGGAGTGCATGCGATCGCTGTACATGTATGGTAAACAAGAGGGTATATATAATATACATGTTTTTTATAGCAGTATTTAAATATATAATCGTTATCTCAGAACTGATTTGAGTATATGTTGTGTATGAGAGTTAGAGAGAGAGAGAGAGAGAGAGAGAGGACGATAAAAAGTGGGAAATAATTTATATGTATAGTTATCTAGATTGTTTTAGTTACCATCTAGGAATTCCCGGTGCAACAAAACAATAGATCACTTGCTATTTGGTGTGCCTCTCATTTATATGTCTTTCCCTCTCATAAATAAATACATACATAAAAGTGTATTAAGATTTGTGTGAAAATTTTTTGCTCATTTGTTTTTACGCCACTTTATTATACATAAGGAGATAGTGAAGCGAACGGCAGAAATGCACTTATACTTTGGTAGTTTACCGGTGCGCTCATTGTCACTGTAGGTGTTCTCACATAACCAGCTCATAATTTAAGACCATGATGAGAATTAAGCGAAATATTATGCAATATTAGTGGGTAAATATTTAGGCATTCAAACCTAAAACTACATTAAGTTTTTGAGTTTAGTTTACATTTGCGAGAGAGAGAGAGAGAGAGAGAGAGAGAGAGAGAGCAGAAACACATTAAGAGGTCTTGTCTTACTTTTCATATTAGTTTTGTTTCGGATGTCTTTCGCACCGCCGATGACCTCCTATTGTGAAAACAACGATCATAAATGTCGAGTCAACTGTTGGCTTGTCTTAAATCTCAGTCCACTTATTATTACAGCCGAAAGAGAAAGAAAGAGAGAGAGAAACAAAAAAGTCTCAATATTTTTCACGAGTCGTTTATTTGAGAGTTAGTTGTAGTTATAGTCAGTTCATTGAAATAGATTTTTGTGTTTCACTTGAAATCTTTCACTTCTCTCTCTCTCTCTCTCTCTCTCTCTCTCTCGCAAATGTAAACTAAACTCAAAAACTTAATGTAGTTTTAGGTTTGAATGCCTAAATATTTACCCACTAACATTGCATAATATGAGTTGATATCGCATTTTATTATATGTTGTGTGTTCTCTCTCTCCAGTTTTAATGGTTTGCTTAAGAAATAGTGAAATGTCTGTTCCGAGGCATTACCTGCGGACCGAATGACTTAACTAACAATTAGCCTATAAATTGCCAAAATGTCATTAATATTTTTGGTGGTTTCGCTAAACAATTATGCCTTTTGGGACAGCGATTGGCTGTAGTGTTGGGTTATGTATGCAATAAAGTATCCATGAATACTATTACATACCGGGGGTGAATATATGCCAATAGATTTATTCATGGTAGTTTTTGTTATTTTGTTTTATTAAGCGAAACAAATATATAGTTAACGATTATTTTTGTGTCAAATAAAAAGAGATAAGAAAAAAGTTTAACCAAATATTTAAGAATTGAAAATTTATTTTCATGTGTTTTTTCTGTGTTAAATATGTTGGGCTAAAAATGTTTTATTTTTATGATTTCCTATTACCCCCTGTGCTGTATAGCACTTATACACCGGTAAATGTTTGGTATGTTTGCCAAGAATATATAGTTATGTATGTATTTTGTTATTAATAGACACCAATATTATTGTCAAATATTGAGTCCAAACAAATTTATATACCATTTTCAACACAATTCTTGGATGTAATTGCAATTTAAAGTCTATTTTTGTGTTGATTTTTATATAAATGTATTTATAAATACTGTTTGATTTGTGTTTCTCTCTCTCTCTCTCTCTCTCTCTCTCTCTCTCTCTTTCTAATAAATTTCCCAAAAAACTACATTACAATTGCGGTTAACATATAATTTTGATGTCATGTAAAAAAATTCTTTATAATTTACGACAAGCAATATATAAGGACTTTATTAATGCAATTAATATATGATTTTTCTTTGAATATGTTTTCAATTGGGGCTCTCATGCCATTGCCATCCGATGCCATACCTGTGTCCACCCAATAGCCCTCCTATCGCTGGAAACGATTAAATACGACAATAACTTAGGAATACGTATCAAATCCAAAGTCGGCGGCGTTTACCTGTGCTTTAATAACAGGGGACGACTCACCACAAAGGTATGTCCACTTTTGATAAATAATTTTATCTGTTTTAAATATATACTTATTTTTAGTATAATTTTTAATGTGTTTTTATGGCTTATATTTACGATTAGATACAAAATGTTCATAAAATTACATTTTATAAAAACATGATGATAAGTTTTTTGTTGAATAATTAGCATATTATACAAGTTATTTGTATATTATTGGCAGTAATACACTATCGGTGTATATGTTATGCGGATTTAATAGGAATTTTTAAATATCTTTTATACTGAATATTCTGTTTAATATTAGAGATAATATTAATTAGCGATAAATTTTTACACACTTTAAGTAAATTATATTGGATTAGAAAAAGTTGCATAACTTTTTTGAGTTGATATCGCATTTTATTATATGTTGTTTGTTTGAAATCATATATTTTATATCAATTCTGTGTTTCAATAAAGTGTTTTCATTTATAAAACTATCGTTTTATCTCCGGTTTTGAAATGTCAATACAGAATGTGTCGAAACATTATATCATAAAAATGTTGTTTTACATTATAAGTAAGTTATAATGTTTGGTATGTGTATGTCTACAATGTATACGGTATGGTACAGTGTATATACAGTATGTGTACATGGTGGTACTTGGTATTTACCATGTAAGCCCCCCATACATTTCATACACCCTTTTTTCACACCAATTCCTATGCCTTAAAGTTTGCAATTTTTGGCCCCAAAAATCAGTCAGTTATTCACATGTTTTCTCTGAGCGTTTCAATTCATTCATACAATCGGTTTTCATTCATTTACTCATACACTCCTCTCCTCAGTCTCTCTCTCTCTCTCTCTCTCTCTCTCTATTCTGTTGTTATAGTTTAAGGAAAAAGTTTGTCATTGTATTGAGTGAATTGTTGTCTAAATCCGATTAGCAAACAGTGGTCTCGGAAACACATAAACCTATCAAATCTCACTTCTCTTCTCGCAGTCACTCATTCAAACATTTTGTGTCCAAACGATATCTATATTATACATATAGACATAGAGAGAGAGAGAGAGAGAGAGAGAGAGAGAGAGAGACTGATGAAAGAGTAAATATAAATAACCGATACTTCACGTCATAATATAAATGATAGATAACCACAAAAAACAAGAGAAAAGTCTCAAACATTATATAATAGTTGCTGAAAAAAACTCATCAAACAATTTATTCATTTTGCCCTTCCTTTCAATTTCCATATAATTTACTGTCAAAAGTAAAATAATAATAAAAGCAAATTTATTTTCTGACTTCTGGTTATTTGTATCACTAAATCGGTTGATGACTACTGGAAATGAATAAATAAAAACCCCACGAAAAAATACTTTTACAATAACTACTGTGTAAAAATTGCATATGAATATACATAGTTATACTGTTATATATGGATACCTGGGAGAGTTTTTTTGGGTAGTATTGGTATGTGAGTGGGAATATATCTGTATATGTGGTGTAGGCATGAATTTATATGGGGTTTTATCAATACATATATGAATTTTTGATTAATATCTCGGTTTCAGTCATAGGAAGTTTGTGGAAAAAATTTATACCCAGAGTATTGTGTAAATCAAATACAAACGAATCATTAAATAAAACAAATAATTCGATGATATTTTTTATATATTCAGTAAATATTGTTTTATTTATTATTTAATCTTAACATCCAATTGAGTCAATAGAGAAATCAATGCATACTAAATAGATAATCAAATAAATGTCATTATTATTCAAATAAATGAATTAATTGACTACCAGTACAATAACCATATTATTACAATAACCATGTATTAGATATAAATTAAAACGTGATATTCTAAGCCCTTGAATAGGGTAAATGTGATTTGCATGCGGTATATGTGCCGCAAATTGGGTGCAAAATATCATTATAATGAACAAAGTGTATAATACAAGTGGTGTTATATTAGTTTCAACATCTATTCCCAGTATTAAAACATAAATGGTTGCGAAAAATACACATAAAATATTTGTATTAGAATTTTGTGATAAATATTAATTCAGAATATATTTTGTGTGAAAATTTCAAGTATTTTTTGTGTGATTTAATGAATAGAAATACCGGTAATATATGAATGATCGTAGTTGAAAGGCCCTACCTCGAAATTCATACACACCATGTTTATTTCTGTCAACATTGTGTGCCTAAATCTTAACGTTAAATAACGTGGTAAAGACCCCGACAGTCAGTCAGTCTCTAATCAATGATCAGTTTTATGAAACAAATGCATGATATTTGTCAATATTATAGAGGATTTGGTCAATAATTTCTCTTTTCATGATTTAAGTGAACATACAATTGATATTTTAGATAAGGCTATGAGAGAGAGAGAGAGAGAGAGAGAGAGGGAGGGGAGAGAGAGGGAAAGGGCACACAATATATATTACGAGCAATTTAGGTCCGAGTGCTCTATCACTACAGTTATTGAGAGAGAGAGAGAGAGAGAGAGAGAGAGAGAGAGAGGTATTTGTTGTAATCATGAAAACTTGACGATAAGATGCCCTCAAATCCGCAGCCAGTCGTCTAACTTATGGGTTTTGAAAGTTGATATAACATGATATAACATATCATAAGAATAATAGGGTATAATAGCATTTGAATTGTGCTTTTGATTTGATATGAATATTTCAAACTAAACACAAGTAGTCATCACTTTTTGCAATGAATATATTGCGCATAAAATGTATGGCATTTATCGCTCCGGAGTTTTAGTCATTGTTTATTTAGGTTTTTGATTGTCTATTATTTAGCAAATGGTAATACTTATATTATATATTGTTAAGGGTAGCAATAATGTGAGTGAAATTGTATATAAATAAGGGCAATCATTAATATAATTTTGATTTACTCTGGTACATTTAAGGTTTATTGCAAATTATAATTGCTATTAAATCTTTACCAAACATAAGTATTTCTAGTATCAATCATAAAGTTTTCCACTGTATAACAAGAGTTTTCTATATATTTTATAAATTATATAATTGTTATAATTTATAACTATAAGTTATAGCCTATTATTAAACTGGATATTTTTGTTTACCACAAACCAAAAATAGCTAAATATTTTAAAATATTGTTTAAAACGATTTTAAATTGTGTTTTGCGTTTAATAAATGGACATTTGGTTTGTTATGTTTTCGCATCAATTCTCGGCCCAGTATTCAATACATAGCAAATGTATGATAAAAATCGTGATAAATAATGTGCAAAACTGTTATTGAATGGCAATTATTGATGGTTTGCGTTGGGGATTACATGGTAAGCATTTTGACACACTTTATATTGGTTATATAATGTAGCATGTTGTTGGAGTGTTTTTTTTACACACACATAGATATATAATGTATTAGCTATATACATTATAAGGTTTATTATACAATATTTATAGCACCGGTGGTTTTAAGTGAGAAGGTGTCTTAGCCCTGACCCTGAATTATGGCTATTCTCTATGTGTACTCTATATGTAAGTCCGGCGTCCGTCCCGTCCGGAGTGGTTGTTGGCTACAAAACCATTGAAATGTATATAACTGTAGTGATAGAGCACTCGGACCTAAATTGCTCGTAATATATATTGTGTGCCCTTTCCCTCTCTCTCCCCTCCCTCTCAGGTATGGCCTCAGGTCTACAAAATTGATGAGAAAATGTATTACTGACTGTCAAAAAACTTATCATTAGAATCGCACAGTCAGTCGAGAGGAGAGAGAGAGAGAGAGAGAGAGAGAGACTGCTGACTGCTATTTTGAAAACTTATTGCAAACATTGATTTATATGTATTTAATTAATACATTTCACTCATAATATGTCTATAAATTTGAGACAAAATGCCAGAGAGAGAGATAGAGAGAGAGAGAGAGAGAGAGAGAGAGAGAGAGACTACTTATCCCAAGACAACTGTTATGACCACAAGAAGTCAGCGGATAGTTATAGAGAGTGAGGGAGACGTGCTTTTAATGTAATAAATTTTCAATTAAAAACATAAATATATACGACTTTTCGCTAATTCATTGTCACAATTATGTCTATGACTGAGTGGTTAGTGGTGTGTGTGTGTGGGATAGTATGGATGGTCTCCCGTGAAAGTGTTGGGACAGTCGGTAGAGTCGGTCGGTTTCCCATTACCTGAGAGGGACAGTGAGAGGGACAGAGAGGGAGAGAGTGAGAGACACACACGGAGTGAAAGATCATTTAAATGTTAATAAAACATAAAAGTTATTCACTTTTCTCGTAGTCTCTCTCTCTCTCTCTCTCTCTCTCTCTCTCTCTCTCTCTAATCAAAAAGACAAAAACCTTATAATTTGAAAGAATTTCTCTCCGGACTCTCTCTCTCTCTCTGGCATTTTGTCTCAAAATTTATAGACATATTATGAGTGAAATGTATTTTTTTATAGCGATATATAAAACATAATAAAATGTATTTTCTTTGTTGTGTTATTTTCTTCTGTAAATTTCATTTATCTCTCAGTTTAATCGCGTTATGAATAATGTTTTTAAATAGACTTTAAACTCAATGCTATTTATATAAGTTACAGAGAAGTATACGTTTCGGTAGATATTGTATTTACACAACAAATCTAACACAAAAACTAATCAATAATTATGTATTTCATCGTTGATTTGTTGTGTAAGTTAGAGACTATTATAATAGTGTATATTCTCTCTCAGTGTTTATATTAAACATAACTATCTGTTATTAGTCTGGGTGTCTGTGGTCTCTATCCCTCCTTGTTATACAATGAGTACACTATAACACAATATGTACGGCGAGTGTAGGGTATGTGTGCAATGAGCCCATGGATTGTGTGATGATTGCATAAAATTGCCGCATCACGAATTGCTTGGGTTACGCTTGTATAGCACTTGTATGTCGATTCACATCATTTCCAGTCTCTCTCTCTTTCTCTCTCTCTCTCTCTCTTTCTCTCTCTCTCTCTCTGACACAAAACAAACCTCAAACGCACGACCAGATTATTACAGAATAGTTATTCTCCTTTCATATTATATATATATTTTTTATTAGACAACAATAAGTAATACAACAGATTATACATATGTATGTATGCGATGTATCTTAAGTGCCGGTGAGAGCGGCTATAATAGTGACCGCCGGTTAGCGCCGGCACTATGTGTTTGAGTGAGAGTGGTTTGGGTTGTGATGGCAGACAGAGACTGGTCCGGCTAACAAAATACCCCTCATATATGCTGTATATATAAATTATATAAGACTCTGCATTCCGTCTGTCAAAAGCCCTTTAGAGTTAAACGAAAAGGTTTTTCACCACTGGTTTTGAGAGACACTAACATTGAAAGCCATTTTTGCCAAAGACATTGAAATTAGTGTTTTTAGTGTTTAATATATATTTTAGTTACTATTCTGTCGGTTAACAACATATAATCTCATAACCGCTTTCACTTAGGATTTAGCAGTGATTTAATTTGATAGATATTTTCGGTTGTGTGACCTAAAAATTCCCATTGCATTAGTATTAATGGTGTATTAAATTGTTAGTTGTTTTTCAATCATGTTTAAGCAATTTTCTCGCATTTTTTCTATGAGTCTTATGTCATGTGAGAAATGTTTGGCGAAAACAACAAAAAAACTAAATTTTGTTTTATGGGTAAACATTATGAGAGAATTGACTTTTTCTTCATATTTGCTTTACTTTTTTTTGTGTTTTTAAAAAGTTTTATATGTTTAATAAAATGCAAATATAAATGTATTTTTTGCTGTAAAATATTGTTTATTCTTACTGTTTTATGATTTATTATAAGGCAATATGATTATTGCGATACATGTGTTGTGCAATACTGTGTTTGAATTATTAATATAGCATTTTTGCGATTAATATCTAAAACATTAAGTGTTTTGTGTTTAATAAAAAAGACAAAAACCTTATAATTTGAAAGAATTTCTCTCCGGATTCTCTCTCTCTCTCTTCTCTCTCTCTCTCTCTCTCTCTCTCTCTCTCTCTCTGACACAAAACAAACCTCAAACGCACGACCAGTGAGAATCCGGAGAGAAATTCTTTCAAATTATAAGGTTTTTGTCTTTTTTATTAAACACAAAACACTTAATGTTTTAGATACTAATCGCACAAATATTTCATTATTTCATTAGTTGATTATCCAATAAACATAAAAAATTATATTTTTTATAATATCTTATTATCTGTTAAAATGCTTGAATGTAATGATAATTTGTTGTGTAATAATAGGAAAACCTGTGTCTCATTCACAGGAATATAATCGCACAAAAATGACAGGAATTTTATGGAAATTAGATTTTATTATTAAATAATTATATTATAATTTATATCTCTTTTAATACTATTTAACGTGAATTTTAAAATATTATTTTCAAACAACTAATTATAAATATAAACTCAATCGGAATGTCGACAAAAAAGTATACTTTTCAACAAAATGTTTGTACACTTTTAATCACGTTTTGAATTCACTATCAAATAGTTTTTACTGTATTTTTATATTAATATAATTCTAATAAAAGTTATA